TCCTGGGGCTTCCTGAATCCAGAGGGAAGGTCAACTTGCTGAGTCCCAAAATAATACAGTTTGGACAGTAGCTGGACAGAGAAGGTGGTTAAGGCACTACACTCTCACATATTAGGCCACTGTTTGAGTCCCAGACCTGGAGGCTTGCTTTTTCATCTTCTCTCTCTGGTAATAAATAAATTAAATTAAATAATTTTATTTGTAGAGGGTTTTGCTATAGGGCGCATGCGCTTGCCAGACACAGAGAGACAGCGAGAAATCACCCCCCAGGGGGATGGCCACGCCGCAATCCCTTCTCCTCCATTCTCCTCTTGGGATCTTGGGCACGCACACACACGCACCCGGCGTGCATTTTAAGCCACTGGGTCCAGGATGCAAACCACAGTCGACTACGTGGGAGTCCAGCGAGACAGCCATTACACTAACTGCTGGTCCCAAATAAATAATTCTTTTAAAAGAAATAATACAAAAGCTGAGGCCCAGAAAGGTTAAGTAAGTTACCCAAGGTCAAATAGTTAAAGGGGTAGCACTGGATCGCCAATCAATTTGCCAAACATTTTACTTGGGGCTGGGGAGAGGACTAGGTAATCAAGGTAGGAAGAAAAACCCATCCGTGTTTTCTGGTGACAAGGTCTAATCCATCCTGGGGTGGTCTTGCTGGCTTTACCAGAAAACACATGCATACCCACCAGCGCCACGGAAGAAAATTGCAAAGATGAGCCTATGCTTGCAAAGCACTCACACCGTCTCTCAGCAATGGTTGCACACAGTTTTACTGGCAGATCCTTTCCTGGGTTGTATCTATCCTATCCACCCCGTTAAAACAGAAAGTCAGCCCTGAAGTCCTATGGTTCTTTTATTTGCTGACCTTCATGATTAAGACCATGGCTCTCGCTAGCTCTTTTCTTTGTGGGTCCCCCACACCGCCCATCCCCATGTCAGGCTTAGCAACACCAAGGGCAGCCAACCCTCTGGCTCAGAGCTCCTCCTCACTGTACAGCCCTGACTTCATCCTATGGTTCCTCCCCCTCCAATGGAATCAGAAGATTCCACACAAGAGATGTGGCCCAGGACCTATCTGCCCTACTTTCCCAACTATTTTAAGCCAGAAAGCTAAATTTTGCTTTCAACCAGCTAAACAAGATCAGCCCTAGCTCAGAACTGATGGGGATGCCGTGCCCACTCCATCCAATACCAACCAGTAACTGGATGTCACAGGCTGAGCTCACCAGTGTATGCCCCAAGGCTGGGCAATGCATAGTTATTTCCAGACAGGGTCCAAGGTCTGGGTCTTTGGAAATGTGGTCAGCACACCACAGTGCAACAGTGATTAACAAGCAGCAAGCAAGCAATTAGCCTTGAGGCAATTACTCGAATCAATCCAACTGGAGTTTATTTTGCCCTGCCCCATTCACATTACAGGGAACAGGAAAAAGAATGTGGGATGAACTGATATGACGAGTAGGTCAAAGATATTTCCTACAGAACAGTATTAAGAAATGATTCCCACCTGGGCCTAACATGGGAAGGCTACTTTGGAAAGGTGTCTGAAGCACTTCAAGAAGGGTCTGGTTAATGAGGCCTTGCTTTAAATGCCCAGGTTTAGACACTGCTGAGTCAATGTTTGCCACACACCAACATCCATGCTGGCCACGATTAAATATAAAATTGTACTCTTGCCATGTTGCCTTGGACAGACTGCCACCACCAGCAACCCATGTCTGAGTCAAGTGACCACAAGTAGAATCCCTCCCTATCTGCAAAGCAACACTGTTTTCGGTCCCTCCTTTCCAATGTGCAGCCTTACTGCTCATGGCTTCTAGGCTGGGATCCATACCAGGAAGTGAGAAGAAGCATTGTATCTTACCAATACCCATGCAGAATTTGATGAGGGTCACATATAGGCAGGTGTTTAATCACCTGAATACCAAGGAAGCCAAGAGTGTTAGTGAAAAAACACTAGATTTAAACTGGTGGGAGTGCCCAGAACTCCAGAGCAGTGGCTCTCAACTGAGGATGATTCTGCACTACTGCCCCCCCATTCCTCTTCCTTCTCAGGAACAACTGGAAATGCCTAGAGACATTTTTGGTTCTCATAAAAAGGGCTACTTTTATCTGCTTATAGCAGACAGCAGCCAGAGATACTGCCAAATGTTCTGTAACACACAGACAGCCCTACACAACAACAAACTGGTGAGTTCCAAACACCAACAGTAGCACAGTTATGAAACCCTGATCTAGAGCTTCGGGAGGACGAGGACATGAGGACATATGGGGGGGGACGGACGGATGGATGGACACACACACACACACACACACACCGCCCCACCACCACCAGAGCCTCTATCAACTGACATACTGAGCTCCCCCTACCTCACACCAGCACCCTCTTACCTATGGCCACTCCTACTACTGCCAAAACCACCACCATTGTACACTCCCCCCACCTTTCCTTCTTTGTCTAATTCTCAGTCACCCTTTAAGTTCCAGCTTACTTCTCAAATGTTCCCAACACTCTAGAGTGGGTAAGACGTCCACTTGGCAATCTCCTGCTGTAACTATCTGGGGTATAACTACCAACTGGTCTCAGGCCTCCCCTGGTCTTAAGACCATGTTTTAGGTCTCACCCTTTTTGGAGAGCCAAGTTTCAGGCTCTGCCAAAACCCTAGCCCCTTCCCCAATGTGAGAGCAGGGGACCATCACCTGGCTGTGTGTGAAAGCAAGCTTCCATTTAAGTGTCTACCAAGGGCCAGGCCCATAGCAGACGCCAAATCACCACATTTAATTCTAATAGGCTTCGGAAGTTGGCATCATCCCCACTCTACAGATGGGAAAGCCAGTTCAGAGAACGCCCACAAGATCCCAAGCAAATGAAAGGAGGCTGGATTCAAAGCCTGAGGCAGCGCTTTTCAGGACATGGCTGAGCCTCCCACACTAACTCCATAGCCAAGTCTGAATCCAGGAGGGGTTGGAAAGGACTGGTAAAGCTTAGGACTTTACTATTCTAAGGAAAAGATGAAGAAAATTTTCCTGATGATGCAATCCTGTTGCTGATCACTAACAGACCTGCACATTAAAAACTTGAAATTTCTGTTCTTCAATCCAGGGATGTGCATGTGTTCAGGGAGTCTCAGAGTCACAGAAGGCCTTGCGATCTTCCCATTAAGCACCTGACCAATGCTGGACCTCCTGACAACCCAAGGGTCTATGACTAAGAAGAAAATTAGCATTCCATTAAGAGACCAAATGGTCCTTTTGTGAGGTCCTTCCAGGACCTAGAGCCCCCAATCTGCCTTACACAGCAAGCTCCAGGGAAAGGTCTCCCCAGAAAATCCTAATCTTTTTTTTTTGGAGAGGTTTTTTCGCTATAGGGCGCGTGCGCTCGCTAGACAGACAGAGACAGACATAGAGACAGA